TGCATTTCACTCATCCCCCTGCTCGGCTCCCGGCTGGCTCCCCGACTGTTTACACAGGCTGCCCAGTGGGGATTTGGGTCCCTTTGTTCACTAACTGCGTTCCCAGTGCCTAGAACAGAGCCTGCACTGGACAGGTGAATCTTTGTGGGACACATGAATGTGGTTTTGGGCGCCTACCTAAGGCCGGGGAGAAGCCACCTTGACAGGATTTGCTTCCCCTCTTGGGGGGCTTACAGCTTAGCGAAGGCATTACAGTCACAGAGGGACTTCTGTGATTTAAAAAGGGGGGGGTGGGGGTGGTTATTATACAAAATTTTGAGAAAGGTTTAAAGAAAAAAATAAAAACAAACCCAGTCCCTATAATCACACTGCCGAGAGATAACCTCCGTTAGCATTTTGGAGGGTTTCTAAAAACACATAATTGGAACTATATGCTGTTCACTGTGTTGAAATCTGCATTTCCCGTGCAGCATTATATATTCTTAGAAACAGTATTGGGGCGCCAGGGTGGCTTAGTCAGTTAAGCGTCTGCCTGTTTAAGCATCTGCCTTCGCCTCAGGTCATGATCCCAAGGTTGGGTCGGGCTCTCTGCTCAGCGGGGAGCCTGCTTCTCCTTCTCCCTCCCCCTCCGCCTGTCCCTCCCCCTGCTTATGCTCTCTCTCTCTCCCTGTGTCAAATAAATAAATCTTAAAAAAAAAAATTAAAAAAAAAAAAACAATTTATCTGGGGCGCCTGGGTAGCTCAGTCCGTTAAGCATCTGCCTTTGGCTCAGGTCGTGATCCTGGGGTCCTGGGATCGAGGCCCTCCCCCCGCATTGCATCAGGCTCCCTGCTCAGCGGAGAGTCTGCTTCTCCCTCTGCCCCTCACCCCGTGCTCTCTCTCACTTGCTTGCTCTCTCTCTCAAATAAATAAATAAAGTCTTTTTAAAAAAAAAAGAAACAATATATTTTTTTAAGATTTTATTTATTTGAGAGAGAGAGCGCGCGCACATGAGGGGGGGAGGGCCAGAGGGAGAAGCAGACTCCCTGCTGAGCGGGGAGCCCGATGCGGGACTCGATCCAGGGACTCCAGGATCATGACCTGAGCCAAAGGCAGTCGCTTAACCAACTGAGCCGCCCAGGCGTCCCGAAAAGAAACAGTATTAATCTTCTGGTGCTGTTCTGCTGGCTGGGGTTTGATAATGTAGTTATCTATCCCTCTGGCAGGCTGAGGGTGGTAGGCCGTGGTGGGCACACTAGAGGAATCTCAGGAAAGGTCTTGAACCTGACACCTGAGCTGAGTCCTAAAGAAGGAACTGGAGTTGGCCAGGTGAGAAAGGGGTGGGGTTGGGCCTAGGCGGGCTGTGAATGGGCTGAGGCCGAAGACACAGCCCAGACGGTGGGGCCCCCAGCAATTCCCTGCTACTAGAGCTTAAAGTTCAAGGCAAGGGACCAGGAATGGCCGGAAATAAGGTGGAAGACGGGCAGGTGACAGACGCCTCTGGTGCCCTGGTGCCCTGTAGACTTTGCCCGGCAGGCGGCAGGGAGCAGTGGGGTGTTAACTATGACCAGACTCGTGTTCTGTGTGACTGAACCCTCCAGCCCACCTTGCTTTCCTTTGGACGGCAAGAGGGGCTCATCTTTCCTTGCTCCTCCTTCCTTGCCCCATCTGGCTCTCCTCTCTCCCTTCTCTGCAGTTGATTCTCAGGCCTGCAAAACCCACATTCAGGAAGTTTCAGTCCCAGATCCAGAAGTAGTACTGATTCCAGTCCCAGAGCTTTCAGGGCCAGGAAGGAAGGAGGGGTGGGGCTGTAGAGTGCCGCAGGGCCCTGCCCCCCCCCCCCCGTGTGACCTGAACGGGGAGGAAAAGGAATGGGGCCCAGGCCATTTCTCTATTCCCGCCCAGCCTCTGATTGGCCCCCTGGAGTGCAGAGTGAGTGCACAGCTGGGAGAGCTCAGTTATCCGTATTTTATTATTGTTAATAAATAATTAATGTAACTGCCCTATGCATCTGGGTCATTTCATACTTTGCAATGCACTTTCAACATTTCCTCACTCTCTCTTCACTACAATTTCTGGAGCGGGCAGGGCAGCCATTGTGCAGCCAGCGGAACTGAAGCCGGGGTACCCTAACTTGCCAAAGGTCACCCAGAAGGCAAGTGGCCGAGCCCGGACTGTGTGACCCCGGAGCTGCCCTGAAGGTCACGTGTCCTTCCTCCTCCTGCAGGTGGACGACCCCCCGGAGGAGCCCGTGTATGAGAACGTAGAGAGGCAGCCTTCGGTCCCTTCGTTGGGCGCCACCGCGCCCCCCCGGCCCCCGGCGTGGGAGACGCACACGGACGCGGGCAGCGGGCGCCCCTACTACTACAACCCAGACACGGGCGTGACCACCTGGGAGTCGCCCTTCGAGGCTGCTGAGGGCGCCGCCAGCCCGGCCACCTCCCCGGCCTCGGTGGGCAGCCGCGAGAGCCTCGAGACCGACTGGGGTCAGTATTGGGATGAGGAGAGCCGCAGGGTGTTCTTCTACAACCCGCTGACGGGCGAGACCGTCTGGGAGGACGAGACGGAGGACGAGCCCGAGGACGAGCTGGAGATGCAGCCGGGCCTGAGCCCGCTCAGCCCCAGGGACCAGAGGGTGAGGGGGCGGGGCCTGGCCCGGGGGGGGTGGCCCCGAGGGTCTCAGACCCCGCCTCCTGCCCCCTGCAGCCCCCGGGAAGGAGGGAGAGGGGCGGGGCCTGGCCGGGGGGGGCGGGGCGGCTCTGAGGCCTCAGACCCCGCCTCCTGCTCACCACAGCCCCCAGACTGCTCGTGGGGGGCGAGGCCTGGTCTAAAAGGGCGGGGCCAAGGGTGCGTACTGGCTCTGAGACCCTCTGACTCAGTCTTCTGCTCCCTGCAGCCCCCTACCCCTGAGACGGATTACCCCGAGTCGCTGACCAGTTACCCGGAGGAGGACTATTCCCCCGTGGGCTCTTTCAGTGAGCCTCGGTCCACCTCGCCTTTGGCCACGCCCCCCGGCTGGTCTTGCCAAGTGAGCCCCGACGGGCAGACGCTCTACACCAACCACTTCACCCAAGAGCAGGTACGGGCAGCGGGGCAGATGTGCCCAGGCAGCCCCCCCCCCCCCCGGTCATTCCTCCCAACTCGTCCTCACTAGTAGCTCACCTTCACACCATAAACTGCAGCTCCTAGGTGGGCTCCAAGACACCCCCTTGCCGCTCCTGACCCTGCAAACTCCTTGGGGGTATATTGGGTTCTGATCAAAGGGGAACTTTGCCTGCCCTCCATTGAGGTGGGCTGGGAGCCCTGACCATCCCTCTCCCCACAGTGGGTGAGATTGGAGGACCAACACGGGAAGCCCTACTTCTACAACCCAGATGACGCCTCAGTTCAGTGGGACCTGCCCCAGGTAACCAACCGGGAAAGGGAGAGCCTTGGGGAGAGGGGACGGGATTATGTATGACAGTGTCTTTCTCCTCAGGTTCCTGTCCCTGCCCCTCGAAGCATCCACAAATCCGGCCAGGACAGTGAGACCCCAGCCCAGGCCAGCCCACCTGAGGAGAAGGTAAAGGAAGGAGCATGTAGGCCCTGGCAGGGCCCCCACAGAAGAAATAGGGGCTTCCTGAAGGTTGAGGCTAGGTTGGGGCTAGGCGAGGGCCGGGCATGTCTCCCCCACAGGCCCCAGCACGAGCCTGGGCTGAATGAACCTGGGTCTGGGTCATCCCCGGCCCGGGGCTGGGTGAGGTTGGGAGCTGGGAGGAGATCTCTCTTGCTGGCTGGCGTGAGGGCAAGCACCCCACCAGCACCAGCAGCAAAGGCAGTTCAGTGGTGACTCAGGCCCAGCCTGTAAGGAGTTGCTGGCTGTGGAGGAGACTAGCCTCTGCCCCCTGTGGCCCACCCCGTTAACTGCCTCCTCTTTCCCCTCAGCTTCCTCAGACCAAGACCCTGGAGAAGGCTGGTGTGCTCCATCGTACCAAGACGGTGGACAAGGGAAGGCGGCTCCGGTGAGAGCCCGGCTGCACCCAGACCAGGGCGGGCTGGGCCTTCACGATGACATTTACTGAGCACGTTCTGTATGCCAGGCTCCTGTTAATCCTCATGGCAACTTTCTAAGAGGTCCCATGAGGACCCTGAGGCACCGAGAGATAGGGACTTGCCCAGGGTCCCTTGGCTACCAAGTATTAGAAATGGGAGTCCAGTGCTCACCATTGGATGCCCCAAGCCGAGCTGTGTTCTTCAGCTCTGTGCCCTGCTCCTGGCGCTGGAAGGGGCCCTCAGCCCAGGGCCAGATGCAAGCCTGGTCACCCCCCACTTCCCCACCCCCACCTAGGAAGAAGCACTGGAGCGCCTCCTGGACGGTGCTGGAGGGTGGTGTGCTGACATTCTTCAAGGACTCAAAGGCCTCGGCTGCAGGCGGCCTGGTGAGGGCCACACTCCCAGGACAGAAACCCCCCCCAATCTGCTCCTGACTCCTATGGCTCTTTACCTGATCTGGCTTGTCAAGGGCTAGGTCTGCGACAGTGGAACATGAGTGCCAGGGGAGCTGGGCCTTGGCAGGGGGTGACGACAGCAGATTCAGCCCACGACAAGCACTTCCAGCCACCCTGGACATGGGGAGCTGTCCTTGAGGGTGGCCACTCCAGCCTGGTGGGCAGGCAGACTAGGGACTGGGCATGCCTGCTCCCGGGCATGAGGGCTGTTCTTCTTTCTCCTTTCCTCTCTTTGGTGGGCAGGCAGCAGAGGACCAGCCAGCCCAGGACCTCTGGGTTCCAGGAACCCTTCCCCATTCTGTTCCTGGAGCCAGGGGAGCCTGGTGGATTGGAGCCAGGAGCCCGTGGCAGGCCTGTCTGAGCTGAGGGCTCCCTCTAACTGTGCCCCCCCCAACCCTTCTCCCCTCTCCCACAGAGGCAGCCTCCCAAGCTCTCCACCCCTGAGTACACAGTGGAGCTGAGAGGAGCCTCTCTGTCCTGGGCCCCCAAGGACAAATCTAGCAGGAAGAATGTGCTAGAGGTGAGTGGTGGGGGTTGGGAGAAGGAGAGGGGGCTCACTGATGGCTTGAGACCCTCAGTAGGCAATCCCCAAGAAAGGGAGAGTGGAACTGGAATTCTCAGGGCTCAAAGCCAAAGTTGTGTCCACCTTGGGGATCCGTCCATGGTATTTGTGGCATCACGGATTCTGCAGTTCCCTTTTACTAGTCCTTGGCCCTGGAGTGTGGTAAGGAGTAAGGGGTCTCTGGGGGATGAAACCCATGCCTGGAAGGACAGCCCTCATCCCAGACAGGAGACTCCCTGTCCCCGGCTACTCACTTTGACAGGGTGGAAACCTGCTCTGGCTGGTCAGAGCCCAGCTTCCAACTGAACTGGGTCCTCCATGAATAAACTGGGTCCCCAGTTTCCCAGGCTCCCCTAGCAGGAAGACTGGGACCATGTGGGGCCCAGGCAGCGACCCTCACGATGCTACACCCTCCACTGTCCATGTGTTGTCTTGCTTTTAAACTACCTTTACCCTCACTTCAGTCCCCAGAAGTTCTGAGGAAGCTCACAACAACAACAAAACACATGGGGAGCTGGTGAAATCCACTGAAAAGCCAGACCAGGCACAAGTTAGAGCAAGGGGTCCATGTGGAGAGGCATTGGGGGCAGATGATGTACAGGGGCTATGTTGTTGCTGAAAAAAATTAGCTCAGGTTTCCTGGTAGCCAAAGTGAAAAGAGAAGGAGGATCAGTTACGTGGTTCTTCTTATAGTGGTGGGGGGGGGGGGCTTTCCCCAATTTGTTGAAGCCATTTTTAGTGCACAGCTCCAGCCTAGGTTAGTAAGGGACCCTTGGAGCTGCTTCAGGTAATGTGAGAAAAGCCAAAAGCATAACCTCACAGTTCAGCTCAGAAAAAGCAGTTCTGCCAGGCCCTTGAGAGTTTTCTGAAGGTCCACCAAGCTTCATTCAGTTCTAGAAGCAGCATATCCACAGAGCAGGGCTGGAAAACCAGACTGATCTCCTGAGCTGCTCTGGTCAGTAGGTCTGGAGCCTTTCTCCAGGCTCAGCAGGGTCGAGTGCAGTGACTAATTAGCAATGTCTGTCGTGGGTGTCCAACTGAAGAAGGACATCACTTTCGCTGGGCAGGTTCCTTCCCCGACCTAGAGGGACATCCTTCAGCCAGTGCTCTATAAATGTCGCCTCTCTGTCTTGCCTTTGGAGAATGCTGCTGAGTAAACGTTTCCCAGTTGTCTTTTCTGACAAGAACCGGAAGGCAGATGGGACTCTTGAAAGCTACTCAAGCTGTTGGAAAAGCTGACAGTCTTGAATGGAACTGGAGGAGCCCCCGCCCCCACTTCCTGGCTGGCAGGTGGCCATCCTCCCTCCACTCAGGGGGTGGGCTGCAGGCACCTCTAGAATTTTTCTCAAGAGACAGCCCCACATTCTAGATCGTGGCCAGGTTATTTGGGCCTGGCAGATTTTCACAGCGGGTCTTCCTCGTCACTCCAGAGTCACAGAAAACTTCAGTGATAGTCCTTCCAAAACAGCTGGTTTGGGCAGCTCAGCTTGCCTGTGCATCCAGCAGGATGAATGTTCTGGGAGATATATTGCTGGGTAACCACATAGCTTTTCCTTCTGTATGAAACTTTCAGAAAAGAACAGATTGTGTTTTGAGAGGGCCTGGGTTTGCCCATCTGTAACAGAGAGACTGTCACTTACTGCTTTGAATGAGGCGGAATGCCTTGGCCTGGGGTGAAGCCCTTGCTCTACTGTGCTCTCAGTTCCTGGGGACAAGGACAGATCATCACCATTTCTGTATCTCCCCTCCCCACACCCCCTACCACTGAGGCCTGGCCCCAGAGCCGAGCCGGGGAGCCAGAGATGACTGAGTGACTCCTGTCTCTCCAGCTGCGGAGCCGAGATGGCTCAGAGTACCTGATCCAGCATGACTCTGAGGCCATCATCGGCACCTGGCACAAGGCCATTGGCGAGGGCATCCAGGAGCTGGTAAGCAGAGCCTGGGGCCTCCGGGGCGGTGGGGATGGGGTGGCCAGCCATTATGCGGAGGAGAGCGTGGGTGAGTGCCCCTCCCTGCAGATGCAGGCCCCACTTAGGGCTGTGTGGCAGATGGGCTGCTGAAGAAATAGTCTTTCTTAAGTATGCAAATCCAGCCTGTGGGGTTGGCCCTGCAGGAGAACTCTCCAGGTCCGGGTGGGGGGGCACGTCCTAGAGGAATGTTCCACTTCAAGGGAGGCAGGCAGAAAAGGAAATCTGAGAAAGAGCCTCAGGCTGGAATGACAGGCTAAAACCAGAAGGGAAAATTTTAAAGGATTGGATTGAAGAGTCTGCTGTTGTTTAGGTTCAAAATATTCATTGCATAACTAGAGATGGAACAGGCCCCCTCTGACAGCTCTTCACCTGGAAGCAACCTGGGGCTTTTTGACCCTCGGTTCCCTAGGAGCCAACACTGAGTACAGAGTTTGGCTGTATTACTAGAGGTAGGAATCCAGGTCTAGGGGGGGTGATGCAGTTGTTGGCAGTGCTGAGGCCTCAGCTGGAACTGTAAGTTCAGAACTCGGGAGCCACATAATTGAGGAATGCTGACCTAGTGGGTTGTGTGCAGAGGATCTAGGAAAATATGGGCAAGGGGGGTGAGCTTAAGAAAGAGTGGGAGAGAGCAGGATGACTGTCTCCAACACCTGAAGGGCTCCATGCAGCCAAGGGAGGTGAACGTTCTGAGGTTCCGCGGTGGTCAGGGGAGTGACCTGGAGAAGGGAAGCGTGCACTCTGCTTGGGAGTCATCGGGCCGGCTGGGAGGGCTCTCGGGGCCCCTCACGCCGTCCCAGAAGCCTGGCCCCAGGCCCTGCCTCTCTGACCGCGTGATTCCAGTCCGCAGACCTGCCTCCGGAGGAGGAAAGCGAGAGCAGCAGCGCGGACTTCGGGTTCAGCGAGCGCCTGGGAAGCTGGCGGGAGGACGAGGCGCGGCCGGGTGCAGGTGCGCGCGGGGTGGGGCGGTGGAGGGCATCTCCTGGGGGCCGGCGTCGCGGGGGAGGCGGGGCGGTGACGACCCGGCTGGGGCCAGCCCGGCCAGTCCCGGCGCCACCGAGTGACCCGGCCCCGCACTCCCAGGCCCAGGCGCAGCCACCCCGGAGAGCGACCTGAGCAGGGTCCGGCACCGGCTCCGCAAGTTGCTGCTGAAGCGGCCCACGCTGCAGTCGCTGCGGGAGAAGGGCTACATCAAAGGTACCCGAGGGAGCCGGAGCACGCGCCGGGGGGGGGGGGGGGGGGGGGGGGGGGGGCTCGGGGCCGGGCGGCGCTGACGAGCCTCTCCCCCAGACCAGGTGTTCGGCTGTGCGCTCGCCGCGCTGTGTGAGCGCGAGAGGAGCTCCGTGCCGCGCTTCGTGCAGCAGTGCATCCGCACCGTCGAGGCCCGGGGTAGGCGCGGCGCCCGGAGGCCTCCCTCCCGGACCCCAAGACGGAGACCCCTGGGGGGGGGGCGCGGGCGGGGGAACGGGAGCCCCTGAGTGGGAATCCGAGCAGGAGCTTTAGACCTGTCCCACCTAGCCCGAGGTCAGCGCCTCCCTCTGCCCCAGGGCTGGACATCGACGGCCTGTACCGCATCAGTGGAAACCTGGCCACCATCCAGAAGCTGCGCTATAAGGTGGACCACGGTGAGACCCGGCTCCCGTCCCTAACCCCAGGGCCTGAAGGCACCAAGGGGTGCTCACCGCCTCTTCCGCTCCCCTTGCCGCAGATGAGCGCCTGGACCTGGACGACGGGCGCTGGGAGGACGTCCACGTGATCACCGGGGCCCTGAAGCTCTTCTTTCGAGAGCTGCCGGAGCCCCTCTTCCCCTTCTCGCACTTCCGCCAGTTCATCGCGGCCATCAGTGAGCGCCTGGGGGAGACCCGGCGGGTGGGGTAGGGATGGGGCCGGCCTGCCGCCCCCGCACCCCCTCGGCCGAACTCCTCCCCCTTTCCCCCCCCCACCGGGACTCAGCCCCTCCGTTCCCCTAGCCGAGCCGACCCTCCCTTCCCTTCCGCAGAGCTGCAGGACCAGGCCCAGCGCAGCCGCTGTGTGCGGGACCTGGTGCGCTCGCTGCCCGCCCCCAACCACGATACGCTGCGGCTGCTCTTCCAGCACCTGTGCAGGTGAGCGGGCGAGCCGCGCGGTAATGGGGAGGCGGGTACGACGGACCCCCCACGTCCCCTCCAGCTCTGGGCCCTGATTCCCCCCTCCCCACCCCGCTCCCCGCTGCAGGGTGATCGAGCACGGCGATCAGAACCGCATGTCCGTGCAGAGCGTGGCCATAGTGTTCGGGCCCACGCTGCTGCGGCCCGAGACCGAGGAGACCAGCATGCCCATGACCATGGTGTTCCAGAACCAGGTGGTGGAGCTCATCCTGCAGCGCTGCTCAGACATCTTCCCGCCGCACTGACCGCGGGCCCCTGCTCACCCCTCGCGGCTGGCGCTGCGGACCCGGGACCGGGGGTGGCGACAGTGGTCCTGCCTTGGAAGCTGGACGGTTGGAAGCCGCTTGGCTGGACTCATCTGTGAGACCCTCCGCCTCCCAGCGGTCCCCAGGCCGAAGTGAAATCTGCACCCCTTGGTGCAGTATGGTGTCCCCTGGTGGGCAGTTTGCAAAATGTGATTTTTTTTTTTTCCCCCTCTCTGGCCTGTCCTGTTTGGGGCTTACTTGGGTTCTGTTCTTTATTACAGCGACACCTGCTGGGTGTGAGAGAGGGAGAATGCGCTGGGGTGAGAGTTGCTTTTCCGGGACGGCTGGCCCTGGGAGGAGGAGTGTGGGTGAGGGGCTTCTCGGCTTCTTCAGGCCTGCACCTGGTGGGGCCTTCAAGGACAGCCCGTGGGGACCGAGCCCCGTGTCAGCCCCGGAGCAGTCGCCTACAGCGCCCCTGCTGCCCAGCCTTGCCTTGGGCCTCACTCCCGCCTAACACTCTCCGCCGCTGCCGGGGGGGCCATTTCCATCGGCTTTCCGGTCCCGGCCGCCGCCCTCCCTGATCCCTGGGTGCTGTGTGCGCGGGTTCTTCACCCTCAGTGTGTACCCTGCCCTCGCCGCCTCCCCGGCACCGTCTCCACACACGATCCCATTTGACAAACGAAGAGAGGCAGGTGGCGGTGTGGGCAAAGTGACCCGTCCAGGGTCCGGTTCAGGCTGCTCTCACACCACGCCTCCTGGGAGGGCGCCGTCGGTCCTTTCAGCTACCCCTCCCCTCCAGGCCCCCTGCACACCCGACCATGGGCTCACTGGCAAAGCATAAGAAACTGCGGCAGGAGGGTTTTGTCTGGGCCTGGGGAGATCCTGAAGGCAAACAGGAATCCTGCCGCAGCTGTGCTTCTGGCGGGGAGGGGAGATAGCCCTGGCAGGATCCCCGCCCCCAGCCCCTCTCAGCGCCCTGGCTGTCTGGCGGCCTGCCTGGTGCCCACCTTGTCCTAAGGACCTAGGAGAGGCCTGCAGGGCTGGGGGAGGCGGGTACAGCCTCTGGAAAAGGAAGCGTGAACCCTGGGGCCAGCCATGCCCTTTCCCTCCTCACACACAAACCACCTCAGTTTCTGGGTCTGGGCCCCCCGCCCCACCCACTGTTCGTCTGTTCGGCAAACAATAATAGCTACTATTTATTGACATTTGCACCCTGCCAAGCGTTTCACTTGGATCATCTCATTTGTCTCTCACAGCCAATATTTATTATCTGCTCTTCTGTGCCAGGCACGGTGCTCTGGGGCAGGGGTACTGCGCATGCGGCCTCTCGGGTGGGGCTTGTGCCCGGCGGCGGACCCACGCCCACCCCACATGCCAACAGGGCCGGGATAAAAGTACAGAAGGAGGCCTCACACCATACGTGGAAATACTGTAAAGTTACAAATCAAGTTATAACTGTTCAATAAAATATGTTCTATTCTCCTACTTTGACAAATATACTTTCGTGATGACCTAGAAGACGAGGTTCCAGCCCACACTTCCTTGACCCTTCTGAATTCTGTGCCCAGGCACGTTGGCGTGAGAAGAGCTGGCTCTGCTGTCAGCCTGCCCCTCGTATCTGCCCTCAGAGCCATCCTGCCCCAAGGGGAAGGCCGCGTGCTCACATAGGGACGGTCCGGCCCACTATCACAAACTGCCATGTGTCCCCTCCCCCCTGCTGCCCTTCGGCCACCCCGCATGGCCCACCCTTCAGGGAATGAGCCTTTTGGGCAGGGACTTCTGGGGTCTTGCATATCAGGAGCACGGTCCAGAGGGAAGGGCCTGGGCTCCAAGAGGCCCCACAGATTCCTCATCCTGTAGGGAGAGAGCACAGACTGAGAAGGTCAAGAGTAGAGCCTTCTAAAGCGGGGGACCCGCAGCAGGGCAAGTGTTCTTCACCCCCAAGTCTTAAGGACAGAATGGGACAGATGTTAAACAACTGATTACTTGGTTACATTCCTGTGTACAAAAGTAAGAAAGTGCAGGGTGCTCTGAAGGTGGGTCGCTCGGATGTCACTGTCCCTCAGGAACCTGAGATGCTTCTGCAAAAGCCCCATCTGGGCCCAGCCCTAAAAAATGAAGAGGAGTCAACAAGGTGAGGAATTAAGGGAAGCATGTCTAGTCAGAGGGGACAGCATGGGCAAAGGCTCTGTGGCAGAAAGGCTCGTAGAGAGAACACAATCTGCAAAGAGCCCACACAACTGGAGAGCATGGGGGCGAGGTGGGGCTGGAGAGGCTGACGGGGGACAGGGTGTGCAGGGCCTTGTAGGCCACAACGAACGTGGGTCTGTGGCAGGACAGCAGGCGGGAGGCCTTGGGAAGTGTCAGCCCCCCTCTGCCCCCCGTCTGATCCTCACTCCGCCCCAGGCTTCTGATGCTGCCAAGGCCTTGGTGAGCAAACCATGTAGCAGCAGGCAAAGAAGTCCCAGATCCATCATATTTTGCCACCAGGAAGAGCTGCAGAAATCACCCACTGCCAGTGAGGAAACTCCTGGAGAGACAATGTCATAACTCATGGGAGGTCATGGGGCAGACGGCGGCAGAGCCTGCCCAGAGCTTCGTTTGCAGCCTGAGGGCCACCAGACGTGTGGCCTCAGCCATGAATCCTCAACACCACGCACAGTGCTCGCACTGTGGGTGCTCACTGAAAATGTTTGGAATGAATTGGATTTTGTGTGAGACACAAAGATACATAAAAATAGTATCTGCCCTCTTGAAGCACCAGCTGGTTGGGGGACAGAGCGAAAAATAAGTGCGCAGTGGATAAGGGCTGTCCCAGAAGGCCCTGTCCCCAAGCCTGCCCCCTGCCCCCTCTCAGCAGATGCTCCAAACCCTCCTACAGCCTGGCATCTGCCCCCGAAGCTGCCCCAGAAAAGGCCACCAGTGCCTGCCTGGTTGCCAAGTCTGGCGGGAGCGCTCGATCCTCGTGCGAGTGGACACGTGAACTGCCTGTTGTCCCCCCATGAAGCTCGCTGTCCCTTTGCCTGCAGCATCATGGGTCTTTGCCCACCCTGTAAATAGTGATGCCTGCTGGGTTGTGGCCTCAGCCCATGGCCCTCTCCCCTCCACCCACCCTAAGGGCCCTCAGCCATTCCAACCGGGGGACTCAGGCACCAGGCCTGCACATGGGTCATCCAAATCTCTCACCAGCCAGGACCACTCTCTCCTGAGTTCCAAGTGCAAATGGCCACCTGCTTACAGGACATCTCTGCATGGATGGCTGTCGGACACCCTGAGCGCAACCTGCCTGCAGCGAAACTCCGGGACCAGCCCTTCTCCCTGTTGTAAGGCATGGCCCCTCCATTGACCAGAGTCTCCTCCCCCCTCCCCCAGAGCCAGTCAGCAGCGCCCCCCACCCCCGTCCTTATCTTCTGCCTGTAACTCTTCCTGGGGTCTGCCTCCCGTCCCCCTCAGTCTCTCGCCTTGGTGGCCCAGTGCTCTCTGAATGGGCTCCTCTCTTCCAGGTTTCATCCTCCACCCAGCAGCCGCCTGACCTTGTCACTTCAGCAAGTGGCCTCCAAGGCCATTCCCAGTCCATCTCCCACCTCTTTGCACATGAGCTGTGCCCCTGCTTATAGCTCCCAGCCAGGCAGTCCCAGCCTCAATGCCAAGGTCTGCCAGTCACCCTGCCTTCCTCCCTTTCACCTGCCTGACTCCTCCCCCTCCCCCTCCTCCCCCTCCTCCCCGCAGCTCACCACCACCACCACCACCACCACCACCACCCACCTCCCCCAGCTCTCAGCACCCTGGCCTCGCTGCCCTGTAAGTGTGCTTCCATTTCGGGCCCTTCCCCACTAGGCTCTGGGCCAGCATGTCTTCACCGCTCTCTTTACGGCCAAGTAAATGCCATTGTACGGAGACACCGCATTTCTTTCTTCATTCATTCATTGATGAACATTTGGGTTGTTTCTACTTTTCCGCTATTAGGAATAAGGCTGACTATTTCATGTACGAGGTTTTATGTGGACACACAGTCTGAGCTCGGGCTGCCATCACAAAATGCCATAGATCGGGTGGCCTAAACAACATAAATGATTTCTCACGGTCCTGGGGCTGGAAGCATCAGATCAGGCCACTGGCGTGGAGGGGTTCTGGCAAAGGCTGAATATGTTGGAGGGGTTCCTGGCTTGCAGACGGCTGCCTTCTTACTGTGTGCTCACATGGCAGAGAAAGAGCTCACCACTGTCTCTTCTTAAAAAAAAAAAAAAAAGATTTATTTATTTTAGAGAGAGAGCGCACACAAATGCGGGGGCGAGCAGAGGAAGAGGGAGAAGCAGGCTCCCCACTGAGCAGGGAGCCCATCATGGGCCTCGATCCCACGACCCTGCGATCATGACCCGAGCCACCCAGGCGCACCTCTTCTTATACACGAATATCATGGGGGCCCCATCCTCATGGGCTCTACCTCCCAGCATCACCATATCGGGAGTTAGGGCTTCACATATGAATCTGGGGGGACACAAACATTCAGTCCATCCATATAGGTTTTAATCCCCCTGGGCACACACCTGGGAGTGGAAGCGCTCGGCCAAACGGTCACTCTGTGTCGAACTTTGTGAGGAACTGCCAAACTAGCGTTTTCCACGGAGGCCACACCATTTTACATTCTCACGGGCAACCGGAGAGGGTTTCTATTCTCTCCCACTTTCTGCAGCAGCTGCTTCGGGGATTCATTCTCCTCAAACCTCCGGCCCTCCCTGCCTCCTCTGCTCCCTCTCCGCTCTCTCTCCAGAGGACCTCACCTCTACCTCACAGAAATAATGGAAACGATTCACATCCCACCAGCAAAGCTCACAGCTCCCTCACCACATCCTCCCTTGCCTCCCTGCCCCTGGTACCTCAGAGCAGACATCTCTCCAGGGCACAGCTAACTTCCTCCCTTTTCCAGAAAGTATCCACCACCATGGCCACCTTGCTCTGCTCCTCGCTGAACTGCTGTCTCAGGCGGAACTCCTGAGAAGTGGAGAGAAGCATGTAGAAAGTCACTGGGGAGTGCCCTGGGGACCACACCTGGCGTGGGGGGATGAAGGCTGCAGGATCAGGCTAAGGGGAAACTGAGCCGTGATGCAGGCCCATCCAGGCCTCCGCTGACCCCAGCCCGGGGGCAGCTCTGGAGTTGGGATGGCCTCAGCACCTCGGCGGGGTCCCACATCGTGGCTGGGGGGGGCAGACCCTCAAACCGCCTTATCATCCACCCACTGGACGAGGCCTGCCTTGGCGGGGTGGGGGGGGGTCCCATGAATTTGGGCAAAGACACTCTCCTCAGCCCGAGGCATGTCCTAGAGAGCGGCTCAGACGGGACCTGTCGACGGCCACGGCCCCCCTACAGCTGCAGAAATAAGTGTACTCACTACAACACCCAGCAAGCTCTTTCCTCTCCGTTCCTTCACGCCCACACACCATCAGACTCCCGAATTTCACTCAGACTCACCAATGATCCCACATCGATACCAGCTGGACATACCAGTTGTCCCCTCGGGAGCATCCTGTCTCTGCTGACCACCCCCTCCTCTCCCTCTGTCCTCCCTCCCTGGGTGATCCTATCCACACCTAGGGCATCGGTGACTCACTCCTCCGTAGCCCTAGGCATGACTGCTCCTAGAAGCTTCGGACCCGTGTCTCCCTGACAACCTGACACCTGCAGGGGACAGTCCTCAGACTGCATGCATGATCTCCCCAAACCTAGCTGTCCTCCAGGGTTTTACCTGTCCCAGGAAATGGCTGCCTTATCCTCCAAGCTGGGCAAGTCAGAAACCTAGGAGTATGGCCTTCTCCCCCCTCTCCCGCTCTCTCCGCCCTCCACACCCGACCTGTTTCCACATCCTGTCAGTTCTGCCTCTCGCATCCACCCACTTCTCTCCAACGGTGGCCCACCTGGTCTCAGAGGCTCATATCTCCTGCCTGGACCACTGCAGTACCTTCCAGCCCCTCCCTGCCCCACACCCTCTTTCCCCCCACCTCACCCACACTCATTTAAAAATACAAAACTAAGTAAATAGTTAAGTAATTAAAAAATAAAAAATAAATAAGAAAACAAACCTGATTATATCATCACCCTGCTCAAAAAGCACTGCTCAAAAAGCATTCTGTGAAACGCAGAGTGGGCGCTTACTGTGTGCGGCACCTGCTGACCCCGGGACCCGGGAAGCTTTTTTTTTTTTTTTTTAAGATCCTATTTATTTATTTGACAGAGAGAGCGAGAGAGTACAAGCAGGGGGAACAGTAGAGGGAGAGGGAGAAGCGGACTCCCTGCAGGGAGCCCAATGCAGGGCTCCATCCCAGGACCTTGGGATCATGACCTGAGCCGAAGGCAGACGCTTAACCATCTGAGCCACCCAGGTGCCCCAGGAAAGGACAAGCTTACCATGGCCTCTGGGGCCCTGCCTGGTTTGTCCCCTGCGTACTCCTCAGCTTCCCTTTGTGGAGCAGTATAGCCTAGTGGTTCACAGCATGGGCTCTGGAGCCAGACTGTCTGGATTCAAATCTAAGCTCCACAACACCTCGGCTAGATGCTTCGGAGTAATTAACTCATTCCTCTGTGTCCCTGTCTTCTCATCTGGAAAATGGGGTTGCTGATAGCAGTAGCAACCTCATAGCATAATTGTGATGATCACAGAAGGTACTACTTTTGAGGTTCTGAGAACAGAGTGTCCCAGAATAAACACTCAGTAAACACTTCCTGGGCCTGGGCCTTACTTGCTTTCCTGGTTTCTGCACTGCAACTACGCTAACCTCCCATTGGTTGCTGAAATGTTTCATGACCCCTCCTGCCCCAGGACCTTTGCATGTGCTGTACCCGCTCTGCAGTTCTCTTCGCCCCTTTGCTTTAATCATCCTTTTGCATTCTGCTCAGGTAACTTTCCTCAGGCATCTCCTCTGAATACCCAGCTAGGTCAGCTTTCTTTGTTATGCATTGAGACCCACATGCTTCTCTTATCTTAGCTTATCATTTTATAAGCACATACCCTGATTATTTATTGCTGTCTGCCCTCTGTGATACTATAAACTTCAGTATCATCTTCCTATGCTCACCTTTGTAAGCCTAGCACCTAGCAGAGTGCCTGGTACCTGACAAGCGTTCAATAAATGCCTGCTGATGAGGCATTATGTGAAAAGGCAGACAGCCAAGAATTCAAACCCCAGCTCTGCCATTTTCTATCAAGTGATCTTGGGCAAGTTGTTCACCTCCGTGTGCTTATCTGTAAACTTAGGACATTCGTGCTTACCTCAGAGACTTCTTACAATTATAAAATGAGACATGTGCAAGATGCACGCCCCAGAACCTGGTATAGGAACATTTGTGAAGCCCTGCTAGTCTTCATTCCTCAGGCCTGAGGATGGTCCTCGGTCCTGCGGTAAGAAAGCCCCTGTGGTGGGGCCAGGGGAGCCAGAAGCAGACGTGTCCTGAGATGTCTCCAGGTGCAGCCAGAATATCTGGGGGGGGGAAGGGCAGGACAGCACATGGGACTGGGACCCTTTGGTTTCCCAGAGCTCCAGAGCAGTGTTTCTTCATGACTTCGGCCTGAGTCCCAGCAGTGCCAAGGGAAGCCTCCTTTGTCCGTTTTGGAGCCAAAGTATCAGACGAAGAAGAGCGCCCCCCTCAGGCCAGTACAGGAGGCGACCCATTGGGATTAACAAGTGCCGCGGGCCGGGCGGAATCCCGGCTGTGAGGTCCGCCCCTATACCTTCCTCAGAGAGGATATTCTTCCTCCCCAGCCTCAGAGGAGGGCTTGGCTCATTAAAAGAGTTGCCAGATTTCCTTTCATGGACTTCATCCTCCACGGGCCACCAGGTGCCCCCGAGTCAACGAGCAGGTGGATGATAAGGCCAAGTATGTTTTTTCTTCTCATAAACTTTTTATTTTGAAAGAATTCTTGACGGACAAGAAGTTGCACAAATAGTACAGAGAGGTCCCATGTGCCCATCCCGTAGCTTTCCCGGGCGCCTCACCCCCTCCCCACCGGCCGCGGGGTGGGGGGGCAACACGCATAACCTTAGTGCACCGTAGTGCACCGCGGAAACCAGGAAAGTAATTAGCACCATAGGATTAATTAGACTTACTCGATTTCACCATTTCTTACCTGCACTCCTTTTTTTTTTTTGTATGTCTTTGTGTATAATTCCATGACATTTTATCACATGTATGGACTCATATAACCACCACCACAATCAAGAATTGTTCCATCACCGTAAAGATATCCCTCATGCTGCCCCTTCACAGGCACATCCTCCTTCCCCTTCCCTAATGCCTGGCAATCTTGTCAGCTCTCCATCTCTATAATTATGCCGTTCCCAGAATGTGATATAGATGGAATCATAAATTATGCAACCTTTCGAGATTGGCTTTTTGGGCCTGGTGTAATGTCTTTGAGATCCATTCGAGTCCTCCTGAGTATCAACGGTTCACTGCTTGTGATGCTAAGTAGTATTCCACAGATCAAATTTTAAAGAGGTCCTCCCAGATGGAGGGAGGAAGAGCAATTAGGAAGCTGCTGGGGTCCAGGTAAATATCACAAGTCAGACTTGCATCCCTGCGGGGCTCCCAGCCTCTGGAAATGGCCCTAGATGTGTCCAGGCCCTACGGGTCAGGGTCGACCAGCAGGGACGAGGGATTGGGGTTGTTGGAGCGCAGCTGACAATAGGGGGCGCCAGAGGTCTTTTGTCCGAGGGGTGATTCCCCGCGGTGGCCGCCAGGAAGGGTTCCAGGGCATTTGGGGCTGCTGTGCGCGCCAACCCAGAGGACTCTGGGGTCTTGTCCCCCTCCGGGCCCCAGCCCCAAGTTTCAGGGCAGCCCCGAGCTCCAAGACTCGGGGATGAGGCTGATGAGGTGTAGTGGAGGAGCTGCTGAGGAGAGGCCAGGACTGGAGGGAGAGGGCAGGTCTGGCGCCGAGGGAGAGGCTCTGGCCCTCCACCAGCCCGGGGTTCCCCGTCAGAGGGTGGCTCTGAGCTCAGGCCTCTGGGCTGGGCCTTGGCAGCTCTGTCCCATCCACCTTTCCCCACCCAGGACTATTGTCCTCTTCTCAGAGAACTCTCCCAGAACATGTGCTACCCCCTCTGTCCCCTACTCTATCCCTCACTTGCATGTCTCCCCGCCAGCTGCCTCCGGCCATTTGCTCGTTGTCCCCCAACAGCAAGCTGATGGAGCGCGCTGGGCTGTATAGGGCCCGCCTTTGTGGAACGCAGAGTGGGCGCTTACTGTGTGCGGTACCTGCTAACCCTGGGAGCCGGGAAGAGAAGCAGCATTCCCAGGGACTCCGGGCCCTGTCTGACGGCAGAACAGAGCCCAGTTGCGGGCACTCTCCTCAAAACCTGCGCTGGCCCGTTGCCTTCTGAATTCAACCCACTTTTCATGATCTTAACCCGTTCCCGGGCCCCTCGTCCTCTGGCGTGCTCCACCCCTCTCGTGCTCGCGGCTGCCCAGATGCCAGCACGCCCCGCAGCCTCCCACCTGCACACCCTTGCTCAAGGTATCCCCTCTCCGACAACGGCCCTGCGCCCATTCTCTAGCTCCATGCCCACTCCTCCGGGAAGTTCTCCTGGTGCCTAATACCCAGGGGGTTCCAAAAGTGTGAATTCCCAGCCTCTGTGCGCCCACATCCTATGTCACATGTACTTCCACGACAGAATGTTCCGCGCGCAGCCTTGCCTAATAATTTGTCCTTTACACATCTGCGTCCCCCAGAGACTTCTCGTTCATCTCTGATTCCTGTGAGCCTGGCGCTGGGAAGGAGCCAAGTAAAGTCTGATTGAGTAAGTGAGTGAATGTATCAGTGGACAGATCTTTGAAACCCTCTTCTTGGGACCTGCTTCCAACCTTGTTCCCCTCTGATTACTGCAGACCGGTGTTATGGGGAGTGCTCTCTCCCTGCCATCTCTAACTGCTCGCATTCCACCCCCCACCCCACCCCCGCCACTGTTCCCCTCCCTAGCAAGCTCACCTATACAGGCCCCAAGTTCACCCTTGCATACCTTGTTTGTCCTTATCTGTTTTCCCCACTATCTTTCCCATGAACGGTGAGCTCCATCAGAGCAGGAATCTTGTCTGACTGATGGCTCTGACCTCTGACAAGGGCGCATGCTCAGTAACTATTTGTGGAATGAATGAATGAAGACTTCCGCGGTGGGGTGCTGGAACCCTTCAAACTCAACATATCTCAGACTGGTCTCATCATCTCCTCCCTCCCCACAATTTGCTTCTCCAGTCTTTGCTACCTCTCCTCTCCCAATCCTCCAACTTAGAAATCCGAGTCACGCAGACATCTTTTCCCCTCTGAACACATCCATCAGCCACTGTGGTGCCCAGATTCTACCTCCTGTCTTTCCAGTCTTCGCACCCACACCCCAGTCCCTGGTACTTACACCTGAGCCTCCTCAGCTGCTCCTAATTTGGGTTCCTCACCTCTACTTTTACTGTTATCTGCATTGCCGCCTGAACAATTTTTCGAAAACATCCATCTCATTATGGCAACCCTTACTTAAGATCCTTACTGCATTCCTATCCCCTACAGTTGGGTTTCCCAAAGCTTAGACCTCACACAGTGGGTGGCAGATGACATAATTAGAGGAGGTTCAAGGACAGAGGGTGATAATTAATATGGAGTTGCAAAATGAAGGAGTTATTTCTTTACTAATTCCTTCCGGCCTCAGTGTCTTTAACACTTCTTTTTGACTTGCTAATCACTTACCAGGGATCAGGACCCTAGCCATGCTGCCCGCAGATATTAATGACATTGTCTTTTTTTTATTTTACGTATTCCATAGTCACCTACGATCTATGACATGTGATACTGGTTTTTTTGTTATGCTAATAATGATCCGTAAAATAATTTATTTGGGAAAAGATATTGCAAACCATATGGCTATCAAAGGACTAACATCCAGAATATATAAAGAACTCTTACTTATCAAAAAGGAAAATTGGGGCA